ATTAGGCAATACATGCCGACCTGCGACACTGACTGGATCTGTCGCACGATCAGACCGTCTCTCGCCCTCGCGATTGGACGGTAGGTAAACATTTCTGCTGAGAACGAAGCGTACCGATTGGATGTAAGGACCAAGGCGAGCTTACATTTAGCTATGCAAAACCTGTCCTATGTACTGCAAATCGGGCATAGTAACCACTTTATTTTCTAAGAGCTCTGCACACTTCTCAAATAGAGATATTTATTATTATTATTAATGTAGACTTCACAGACCGGTATTCTGTAAGAGCTCTGGGATGTTATTTTCCACACACTTTTTAAAGTAAAGACGATATTAATAGTATTAATATGATTAACATAAGCTTCACAGGCCGCATTTGTAAGAGCTCTGTGATGCTATTTTCCACAGACTTTCTAAAGTAGAGACGATAGTATTCTTTAATACTAAAGTAGGCTTCACGACCAGCGCTTTTTGGAGGGACTTTGCGAATATATATCTTCTTTACTTCACCTGGCACTCACCACTGCCACCGTGCAATGAAGGCGCGCTGCTGCACGGTCATTGCGGTATCTGCTCCCGTGCACCCCACCCGACGAATGCATGCGCGCACGATAGATAGTTGTTTTAGTCAATTTATATTGCATGTAACGTATGTAATTGTTTAAAAATCTGATAAAAGTATTATTATAGCAAAACCAAAATAATATTTATAAACATTTTAATATTTTTTAAATAATAACTATCCGCGTTATATTTCCGTGCTATTGGCTAATATTTGGACGCAAGTAATTGGTTAAAACAATACAATTTGTTAGCTTAATCACAGTTCGCAAAATGGTGGGCCCTACGTGCAAGGAATGCGAGGCGAAGATTGACCCGCTTCTGCTGAACCCGCAGCGGTCTACGACGGCTGCCCGGGCGCGCTGCGTCGGCTGCGGGAAGCTGCAGTACGGTTACGCATTCCGTACAATCAGCGGGTGGGACATCGTGCGGCGCTGTATTGCCTGCGAGAACGGCCCAAAAGCGGTCGAGCTCTGGGAGGAAAATCCCCCACTACCTGATTCGGCCGAAGTGCGCCGCAAGGAAAGCCTGGCGCACGTCAAGAAGGCGATGGGTCCTGACTGGTACCCCAAGAGGAAAAAGAGGCGCAGCCGCCATCGCAAGCTGACCGCCCGAAACACCAAGTACATCGAGCAAAAAAAGCAGCAGAAGAGCAAGTAATTGGTAAATATACCCTTTAAGGCCCCCATTTTCCTATCTATTTTTGTATTTAGTATACCCGACTACAGTGCAAGGTTTGGAGCCGCACATACGGTAAGCTGCCTTTGGCACTGCCAAACGTTTTGACGCACCTACAGAGCGTAGCGCGTTTCATTTAATAATGAACACGTGCTATCAGCTGCAAACGGACCGTCCCTATCCACATAGGCGTCACCATAGATGAAAAGTACACTCGCTCACTTGGACACACGCAAATCCGTGCTATGTGTACCATCAGCGCTTACGGTGTATATACCAGTAGTGTGCGCTCATAAATTAAACTACAGTATGGAGTGAGCTCTACGCGCGACGAATAATTTGCTGTCTACACAGACACGAGCACGTGTGCGTTAATGCAGATCATACAAGTGAATGTGGCAAGTTGATGAGTCTGTACGCAGTACCGTACTTTAGTGCCCTGCTCAAATTGGTCGGGATCAGAGCTGGGGATGGTT